AGACCCCATTCTCCCTGACTCCTCATCCAGAGCCTCCCCATGTCCCACACATCACAAGAGCATAAGAGTTGAGGGCAGAGGTGGGGCTGTGCTGAGGGCTGCTCAGTTCTCCTAGCCCTTCCTCTCAGTTTCCCCAGCTCTCACTACATCATAGTCATAGTCCAAAGGTCTAAAGGTCGGTTTCAGCCTCAATATTGGGAGACCCTGCACCCTAGGGCTCTCTCCCTACACCATGGTACCTTCTGCTTCCTACTGTCCCCTCCTTGTTAACCCCTTGTTTCCCAATTTCCCTCTCCAGCTCTTCCCCCCTGGGGTCTAGGCTCAGACGGAGGTGCCAGAGGGGAAAGAAGGAGGCACTGGAGCCTTTTAGCTGAGCCTGAGACTCAGCTCCCGGGTGTGATTCCAACCCTCAGGTCAATAGTTGGTGGCTGTTATGAGTGAGGTGGGGGCTCTCCTCTTTTACCTTGGGGTTTCTGAATGACTGCTGTTATAGACATGGTAATTCCAAGAGGATTTTCTCACTGTACAAGGACCCTGGCTCAGTCAGCCAGGTGGAAGTGAGCCTCCAAGTTCCCCTCCTTCCCCTCCTCACCAGCAAATGGTCCAGGTCTCTGGGCTGAAGGTAGGAACTGTGATGTCAGCAAAGCCCGGAACTCTCCTCCACAATCCACACTTGTCTGTCCCCTCCATCTCAACCTCACATGAAATTAGAGAGCGTGGAAACGAGCCATTGGTCAGTGACGGACTCTTTTAAGCCTAGGGGGATGAAGTCGCCCCACCATACCTCTTCTCTTTCCACTGAATGTATTTGTAAAAAACAAAACAAAATAAAAACTATGCAGTTACCTGCCTCCTCCCCTCCTACACCATAGAAAACAAAAATTAAATTTCAAATACATTTGGGAAACAATGGGTTCAATAAATAAGTTTCTTTTCTTTATAGCTTTGGGTGTTCTATGAATCTCCCAGTGGGAATAAACATGTTTCCTGGGGACACAGTTAGGAAACAGCTGTCCTAGAATTGGTCTTAAGAACCAATCCAGATCAAGTAGATGAACGTCTTCAAAAACTATTTTTAAAACTACACAAATGTATTGCAGGCAACTAGAACTTGAAAATAGGGCTACGCCTTGAAAGTTATGCCATAAATCAATAAATAATGAATTGGAAACAGAATGAGAGAACATGGGAGGAAACCTAGGCAGAAGAAAGTCTAATTATCACATTAACATATCTAAAGAAGAAATGGAAATTAGAGACAGGCCAGATTAGGAGGAGAGGATTTGGCCTGCTTACTGTAGCTGTTTAGTGCTGGTAGCAGAAACACCCACATGGAGGTGACAAAGACTATCTCCTTGACCAAACTAAAGCCAGGCTCTTTGGAGCCCCCTTTTCAATGAGGCCTCATCCTTGGGCCCCCTCTTCGGCCTGCTTAGCCCAGTTATAACAGGAATCCTGCTAAGTCAGTTTAGAGAGAATCCCCCCACCTTGATATCTGATCAAATTCCTCATCCTCCACCCTTTATGTGTAAAACCTTGACCTGTCTTCAGCAAGAACCCTCTTAAGTAGATTTAGCAAGATTCCTCCATCCTTGATGTCTCCTCTTAGTAATTCTCCATCCCCCTCCCCCTCACTTTGCTCATTGGCTGCAAATCCCCAGCTGTCTTTGCCATATTCAGAGCTAAGCCTGATCTCTCTCCCCTATTGCCATAGTCTTGACCCTATTGCAACAGTCCTAAATAAAGTCTTCCTTACCATTTTAATAAGTGTCAGAATAATTTTTTACCTACAGCAGTGAGGGGCAGGAAAGATCCAGCACTCTTTGTTGCCTTCGAACATCAGAACCACTCAAATAATCAGCCTTTCTTTTCTTTCATGGTCACCTAACAACCTCGGGTGGATTCTAGCTTCCAAACTTGTTTTCAGACTGAAGAGAATGTCCTTCACCATTTTATAGTTCTCACTGTTAATTAGTAAATTGGCATTGATGCTGGTTTATATACATCTGTGATTAAGTTAATCCTGGAGCAGTATCCCCAAGGCAAAACACATTGACAAAAATCAAGTTTCTGGGCCCACAAAAGAAAGGACCAGAAGGTAAGATCTAGCCACAGGGAGCTACAGAATTTAAGAATCCCAGCTGGAGCTTAGATGACATAGCTACCTAATGAACATCAGCAACCAAAGTTTTTGAAAAGTCAATAGGGAGTTAGAGGTGAGGAAATAATGTGGGTGATATAAATCATTTTGGCTGTTGCATTCAAAATCTAGTTTTTCTTCTCTCTCACTGCCTACATCCCAAGACTCAAGACTCAATTATGTCTTGTGTTTCTATCTTCTAGCTATCTCTCAGATCTACCCATGGCTTTATCCTGACCTGGGGATCTTATTAAGATGCAGATTCTGGTTCAGAGGTCCTAAGAGGGTAGAGACAAGAGTCTGCATGTCTACAAAGCTCCCAGGTGTTGCAGATGCTACTGGCCCAGAGACCCCTCCTTTGAGCACAAGATGCAAGGTTCCATCATCTCTAGTCTTGGAGTATTGCCACGAACTCCTATCTTTCCAATCCATTTCCCACCCTGCAGCCATTGGGGTCCTTCTAAAATGCAAATGTGAACAAGTTCCTCCACTTTCCCTTCTTCCCATTGCTCATACAGCCCTCAGATCCTGCTCCTGCCTCCCACTCCACCTCAAGCTCCCACTCCACCTCAAGCTGATTGGTCCAGCCCTGATGAATTAGGCTCAATTCCTATGATCACCCTGTCATCTCTATTTCTGAGCTTTCTCACAAGTTCTCCTCAACTGACAAACATTAATTTTCCTTCTAATTCCCACCTTTACCCCACCACATCCTCCCAGGTTTTTGAAATCCAATCATACACTCTTCTTTTGCAGTTCTATAACACTCTGAACCTCTTCTCTCATTGTACTTATCAACCTATGTAATGACTTTTCTCAAATTTCTATCATTAGATCATAGATGAAGGAGATTGAGAGGTACCTGTGCTTATCTCCATCACATTGTTTCACATATAGAAAATGTTTAAAATGTATTTATTAGGGCCGGCCCCATGGCTTAGCGGTTAAGTGCTCGCGCTCCGCTACTGGTGGCCCGGGTTCAGATCCCGGGCGTGCACCGACACACCGCTTCTCCGGCCATGCTGAGGCCGCGTCCCACATACAGCAACTAGAAGGATGTGCAGCTATGACATACAACTATCTACTGGGGCTT